GAAGAACTGTGCTGTAGTGTCACACTGGGATAAATGTCTCAACATTTATGGTAATTATGTTTAGAAATATAATTATAAATTTTTAATTATAAATGTTAGTGTAATTTTGGCCTGTACCTTTAACATTGGACTCCCCATGTATTTTTATGGAAGCCTATCAACCTATGCTAGGTCCATTCAGGCCATCAGCCATGCAGGTAACCCACAAGCAGAGATTTCTGATTACATCCTTGTATATGTTGTAGGGATATGATAAAAGTGAGGATTTGGTCAAATCCTAAGGGAGATGGTCAATTTACTGAAGATGTTAAAATAAAAGACATTTCCCTAATTAAATGAAGTGATTTGATCAAATCTCTAAACTGCTTTTGTGACAAAAAACGAATCAACAAAGTAAGAAGTACTTATATGAAAAGATAGAGATAACGCCAAGTTTATTTATTTTTATTGAAACACATTGTAGATTTGTGGCACCTGAAGTTACAGAGGACATTATTTTTTTTACAGGCACATATATTTGTTTTGCATTGTACCTTGGATTTTTCACAGGAACATTTCTTAAACGCTTGACCTCCAAATAAAGATAATTTTCCAGCAATTTCTCGCAAACTTAGCTTTATCGGTGGGATGGTTTCGGTACATGTGGTTGTAGCTATTTGAACAGCATAGCGTTTCTATAATGCCAGCTGAAGTACCAATTTGGTATAAACCATTTTTTTAATCTAAAACTATTCCCGTAATATTATTTCCATCTAATGGACCTCTATCTACCTTAGGTACTGTACATCAACCAAAATTGTGGAATTCACTAACATGACCTTAAATTTCTTCAATGAAAAATCTTCCATTTTTTCAGCTGATATTTTTTAGGTATTTTGCAGCATGTTCCCTTTGATCTATAATTTTCTTTTCGGCATAAGTAGCATAAAATTTTTGATCCATATCCTTCTTTTTAATAACAAGTAAAATACATCACAAATGAATACAAGTCAAATTTTGCTTGCCATGTCCAATCACCAGGAACAACTATTTCCATTGAAGAGAGAATCATTCCTGGTGATTGGACATGGCAAGCAAAATTGGACTCTTATCCATATGTGATGTATTTTACTTTTTATTAAGTTGTAATTCTGCCAGCCCTTTTCTACAAGAAATACCATATCCTTCTCCTACACTATTTCCACATATTGCATGTACTGGATTTTTACAAATGTTGCAAGAATGGGCTCCAGTAGATTCTGTTCTACAAACAACACAATGTAGTTTTACTTCGCTGTCAACTGCTTCTGTTTTTGATTCTATTAACAGTACAGATGTTTTAACCTTTCAACAGTGGAATAGTCAGGTATGGTGCTACCCTTTGTAGTGGAGAATAAACGTGCAAAATTTTTAGAGTATTTTTCCACACATTTTTTTCTCATTACTGCTTCAGAAAAAGATTTTGTAAACTGTTATGTCTAGTAAAGAAAAGTCTTTTTTTATTGTTACATAATTCATTTCTTATGTGAATTTTTTTTCGCGGTAGTTTTGGCTAGTTTTTGGCGATACCCCAAAATGAATTTGACGTATATATACATCCCTCACCACTGCCACACGATTGCCCTTGATAAATATATTTGTCGCTCACTGCCGAGTGGTTAACTGGCAGTACAGATGTTTTAGAGTTGTAAACTGGTTCGAGCTGTGTTATTGATTCAGTTGCTAGTAGATCCTCTAAATTTAAAGTTGAAGCATTGTAGTTAGCTAATTCAGCTTTTGGATTAACTTCTGAAGTTGAAGCGTCATTGTTGTTCATTAATTGAGTTGCTGGTAAATTCTTTGATGTCAAAGTGTTGTCATTATGTTGCTGTTTAAGAAGCTGATTCAAGTCCTCTTCAGTAACAAGTTTCTCAAGCAACTCCTTTATGAGTATATATGAGTAGAATGGAGTCCTGTTTTTGGTTCTGTTCCAAATAAGGCTTTGTAAAGTGATCGTTGAATGGTACGATTAAAGGAGGAAGTCTTCTGAAACTGAACAAAGTAACAACCTGTAGCCCAATTATTTGTGTTATTGTCAATAAACCAAGCATGTAACATAGCTTCAACATCTTGATTCAATTGCTCAACAGATCCTTGGTTTGCTGGATGTCTAGGTCTACCATTTACAATTTTACATGTTGGCCACAGGGATGTCAATTCTTGTATGACACCGTAAACTGATGGCTGTTGTCACTTTGCAATATATGAGGACAACCTACTTCCAGAAAGATTTTTAATAGCTCCATTGCTACTTCAGCTGCTCTTTTCAAAGTAAACGGCCACAGAAAGCTGAATTTCATTGCATGATCCTGGTAATGTAATAGCCATTTGTAATTTCTGACTGGGGTTGACTGCAAGTCAACTAAATCCACTTGACAATAATGGTTAAAGTCACAGGACACAATTGGGCAAACGATGATTCCTTTTCTTGGAAATTTTTTAGACTGACATACCGTGCACAGTTTCAAAAACTCCAGAATAACCGAGGTGGGTATAAAGTATTGCAATTTCAAACTGTACAGCATTTTATCTCTGTCTCCGTGACCAGTTGACTGATGAGTTTCCCGAAGTATATGATAAAATTTTCCTGCAGGCACTATTTTCACAACTGGATCAGAGTCAGACTTTCTCTTCAAAATCAAAGATTTTTTAGTACCTACTTCCATTAGATCGTATTTTTTTCCATAGTAATACTGTTTATTTGTTGGTTGAAACTTAAGTACTGGTGCTAATTTAAATTGTTCAATGGCTGTGATAGCTTCTTCTATTCTTTCAAGAGTCCACAACGGTTTTTCTTTATCATGCCACTCACTCAAACACATTCTGATAGTTTCATTGAACTGTTCTTCACACACAAATTCAGTTTGAGTCTGATTTTGTCCTGTATTCAAAGCAATTATTTTGATAATCATACAAATTATAAGGAAAATAAAATATAAATATGCACGACTATCGTGACATAATGATTTGTGCAACTGTGTACGCCAGAGGTCGCCAGCAACTAGCCTGTTGAAGGGATGAGGGGGTGAGTAACTAGCACAAGCAGTGCTATGCAACTCCTGACTTGTTTATTTTATCTTTTCACTAAAACAGTACAGGGATTTGATCAAATCACTCATTTTTTTAGGGAAATGACTCTATAGAATTGTCATTTTAACATCTTCAGTGAATTGATCATCTCCCTTAGGGATTTGACCAAATCCCACTTTTATCATATCCCTGCATATATATATACAGGGATATGATAAAACAAACTTTTATTTCACAAATCCCTGCATATATATATATGCAGGGATTTGTGAAATAAAAGTTTGTTTTATCATATCCCTGTATATATATATGCAGGGATATGATAAAAGTGGGATTTGGTCAAATCCCTAAGGGAGATGATCAATTCACTGAAGATGTTAAAATGACAATTCTATAGAGTCATTTCCCTAAAAAAATGAGTGATTTGATCAAATCCCTGTACTGTTTTAGTGAAAAGATAAAATAAACAAGTCAGGAGTTGCATAGCACTGCTTGTGCTAGTTACTCACCCCCTCATCCCTTCAACAGGCTAGTTGCTGGCGACCTCTGGCGTACACAGTTGCACAAATCATTATGTCACGATAGTCGTGCATATTTATATTTTATTTTCCTTATAATTTGTATGATTATCAAAATAATTGCTTTGAATACAGGACAAAATCAGACTCAAACTGAATTTGTGTGTGAAGAACAGTTCAATGAAACTATCAGAATGTGTTTGAGTGAGTGGCATGATAAAGAAAAACCGTTGTGGACTCTTGAAAGAATAGAAGAAGCTATCACAGCCATTGAACAATTTAAATTAGCACCAGTACTTAAGTTTCAACCAACAAATAAACAGTATTACTATGGAAAAAAATACGATCTAATGGAAGTAGGTACTAAAAAATCTTTGATTTTGAAGAGAAAGTCTGACTCTGATCCAGTTGTGAAAATAGTGCCTGCAGGAAAATTTTATCATATACTTCGGGAAACTCATCAGTCAACTGGTCACGGAGACAGAGATAAAATGCTGTACAGTTTGAAATTGCAATACTTTATACCCACCTCGGTTATTCTGGAGTTTTTGAAACTGTGCACGGTATGTCAGTCTAAAAAATTTCCAAGAAAAGGAATCATCGTTTGCCCAATTGTGTCCTGTGACTTTAACCATTATTGTCAAGTGGATTTAGTTGACTTGCAGTCAACCCCAGTCAGAAATTACAAATGGCTATTACATTACCAGGATCATGCAATGAAATTCAGCTTTCTGTGGCCGTTTACTTTGAAAAGAGCAGCTGAAGTAGCAATGGAGCTATTAAAAATCTTTCTGGAAGTAGGTTGTCCTCATATATTGCAAAGTGACAACAGCCATCAGTTTACGGTGTCATACAAGAATTGACATCCCTGTGGCCAACATGTAAAATTGTAAATGGTAGACCTAGACATCCAGCAAACCAAGGATCTGTTGAGCAATTGAATCAAGATGTTGAAGCTATGTTACATGCTTGGTTTATTGACAATAACACAAATAATTGGGCTACAGGTTGTTACTTTGTTCAGTTTCAGAAGACTTCCTCCTTTAATCGTACCATTCAACGATCACTTTACAAAGCCTTATTTGGAACAGAACCAAAAACAGGACTCCATTCTACTCATATATACTCATAAAGGAGTTGCTTGAGAAACTTGTTACTGAAGAGGACTTGAATCAGCTTCTTAAACAGCAACATAATGACAACACTTTGACATCAAAGAATTTACCAGCAACTCAATTAATGAACAACAATGACGCTTCAACTTCAGAAGTTAATCCAAAAGCTGAATTAGCTAACTACAATGCTTCAACTTTAAATTTAGAGGATCTACTAGCAACTGAATCAATAACACAGCTCGAACCAGTTTACAACTCTAAAACATCTGTACTGCCAGTTAACCACTCGGCAGTGAGCGACAAATATATTTATCAAGGGCAATCGTGTGGCAGTGGTGAGGGATGTATATATACGTCAAATTCATTTTGGGGTATCGCCAAAAACTAGCCAAAACTACCGCGAAAAAAAATTCACATAAGAAATGAATTATGTAACAATAAAAAAAGACTTTTCTTTACTAGACATAACAGTTTACAAAATCTTTTTCTGAAGCAGTAATGAGAAAAAAATGTGTGGAAAAATACTCTAAAAATTTTGCACGTTTATTCTCCACTACAAAGGGTAGCACCATACCTGACTATTCCACTGTTGAAAGGTTAAAACATCTGTACTGTTAATAGAATCAAAAACAGAAGCAGTTGACAGCGAAGTAAAACTACATTGTGTTGTTTGTAGAACAGAATCTACTGGAGCCCATTCTTGCAACATTTGTAAAAATCCAGTACATGCAATATGTGGAAATAGTGTAGGAGAAGGATATGGTATTTCTTGTAGAAAAGGGCTGGCAGAATTACAACTTAATAAAAAGTAAAATACATCACATATGGATAAGAGTCCAATTTTGCTTGCCATGTCCAATCACCAGGAATGATTCTCTCTTCAATGGAAATAGTTGTTCCTGGTGATTGGACATGGCAAGCAAAATTTGACTTGTATTCATTTGTGATGTATTTTACTTGTTATTAAAAAGAAGGATATGGATCAAAAATTTTATGCTACTTATGCCGAAAAGAAAATTATAGATCAAAGGGAACATGCTGCAAAATACCTAAAAAATATCAGCTGAAAAAATGGAAGATTTTTCATTGAAGAAATTTAAGGTCATGTTAGTGAATTCCACAATTTTGGTTGATGTACAGTACCTAAGGTAGATAGAGGTCCATTAGATGGAAATAATATTACGGGAATAGTTTTAGATTAAAAAAATGGTTTATACCAAATTGGTACTTCAGCTGGCATTATAGAAACGCTATGCTGTTCAAATAGCTACAACCACATGTACCGAAACCATCCCACCGATAAAGCTAAGTTTGCGAGAAATTGCTGGAAAATTATCTTTATTTGGAGGTCAAGCGTTTAAGAAATGTTCCTGTGAAAAATCCAAGGTACAATGCAAAACAAATATATGTGCCTGTAAAAAAAATAATGTCCTCTGTAACTTCAGGTGCCACAAATCTACAATGTGTTTCAATAAAAATAAATAAACTTGGCGTTATCTCTATCTTTTCATATAAGTACTTCTTACTTTGTTGATTCGTTTTTTGTCACAAAACCAGTTTAGAGATTTGATCAAATCACTTCATTTAATTAGGGAAATGTCTTTTATTTTAACATCTTCAGTAAATTGACCATCTCCCTTAGGATTTGACCAAATCCTCACTTTTATCATATCCCTACAACATATACAAGGATGTAATCAGAAATCTCTGCTTGTGGGTTACCTGCATGGCTGATGGCCTGAATGGACCTAGCATAGGTTGATAGGCTTCCATAAAAATACATGGGGAGTCCAATGTTAAAGGTACAGGCCAAAATTACACTAACATTTATAATTAAAAATTTATAATTATATTTCTAAACATAATTACCATAAATGTTGAGACATTTATCCCAGTGTGACACTACTTCAAACATCCCTTCAAGGTACTGTTGTGTGTCAAGTTGCTTGAAGTAGTCAAGAATGGTATCTTTCAATTCCTCCTGATTTGTAAAGCATTTCCCCACCAAAAATTTCTTTAAAGGTCTGAATAAATGAAAATCCAAATGGGGGCTAAACAAAGGATGTTGTAGGACCTCCCAGTTCTGCTCTGCCAACCATAGTCTGGTTTGATTTAACATGTAGAGTATAATCCAGATTTAGAACCCTCAGATTTTCATTTATTCAGACCTTTAAAGAAATTTTTGGCGGGAAATGCTTTGCAGATCAGGAGGAATTGGAAGATATCATTCTGGACTACTTCAAGCAACTTGACACACAACAGTACCTTGAAGGGATGTTTAAAGTAGAGTCACACTGGGATAAATGTCTCAACATTTATGGCAATTATGTTTAGAAATATACAAAAGTATGTAGTTTTAGTGGAATATATTAAATATTTTTTTAATTATAAATGTTAGTGTAATTTTGGCCTGTACCTTTAATATCAGACTTCCCTCGTACAGTAGCCCACAATCACTACAACACATTATTATGCATGGGGCTGTTTGCATGTCATATGCAAACTATATGTCAACTCATGCTAATTTGCATGAGCATTTTATTGAGCATTGTCACATTTACATGTGACAATGCTCAATAAAAAAGAAAAGATTGAACAAGAACAAGCATTAAATTTATTATTTACCTCATGGATGTTCATATAAACTAGTATTTTTTTTTTTTTTGTTCATCCAGTGGTCAACTGCTTGTGACATTACTTTTACTCCTAAGCTGTTTTCTTTTGTACTTGAGTGGAGCAGCAGTGGTGACTAGCAGAAGAGCCACCACTTGCTGCTCTGCATGGCTACATCCCTGTATATAAAATAATTCATTTGTTTCTTTTTTTAAATAGAATAAGAGATTTGCCAAATTGATGACAATGAGTATAAGATTTCAAGATGAAGATAAGCATACAAGCATCACACGATCATACCATGTTAAATCTTATGATGCATCCACAATGGCTCAGGACTTGTATAATTTATTAGAGAAAATGAATAAAAGTTCTTCATCCAGTCATCTCTGGTTAGTTGCCATTATTATATGCATAAATAAATATTATCTGTTGTTTCTCAAATAAAATAAAATAAAATAACTTACTGGAATATAAATACTTAAAATAATCAAACACCTTAGTATTTCCAGCAACGAAATATTTAATAAAAACAATAATGTTTTCGACTATTTTTAATAATCTTCTTCAGTTAAGCCACTTTAAAACAAAAACGAACATAAAATAGAACGCAAGTAATACAACAGTTTAAAAATTTGAAATTAATTACAACAAAATAAAAATAAAATAAAAACGTAAAACAAAATTAAATTACAATAAAATATTAAGAAAATTAATCGTTGTCGTAAAGAATTAAATAAAGTATTAAGAAAATTAATTGTCGTGGTAAAAAGATTTCCATGCGAAGGATAGACTTTCTGCATCTCTATGGTTGATGCATCCTTTGTCATTATGGACCTTGTAAATTTCAAGTTTTTCAATATGTTTAAGTACTTGTTTGTTGGTGGTGGTCCTAATTATGGATGCTTTGTCCCAATGTACTGTACATTAATATCTTGATGTTTAGCGAAGGCTGCAAGGACAGTACTGTCCAAGTTTTTAGTAATGGAATACTTATTCTCTTTAAGCCTCTGTTTTAAAAGTCTCATAGTGGCACCAATGTAAACGAGATCTGAATTAAAACGGTGGTCACTTAAAGGAATAGAATACACTCCTGTACTATTGTTACGGTTTCCTTTCTTCTTATCATTTCATAGAATTCTATAAATCATAGGATTACGACAATAAATAATTCTTAAAGTATTCTTGTGAGATAATTTTTTAATCATAGAGTGTAGGAAAGGTATGTAGTTGAGAACTACTCTTTGTCCTTGGTTCTTAGTTGTAGGTTGCTTATTTGTTTGATTACAATATTTAGCAATAAGAGCATTAATTTCACTTATATGATATCCCTGTTGTACTGTTGTATGTAATTTAATTCTCTGTGTGTCAAACATATTTGTATAGTGTGTATAGGCTTGCTTTATTCATGATCAAAAGGCTGCATTCTTAAAATTCTCAGGATCAAAGGAATTCTTTGGTATAATGATAGGTAGATAGCTAGGCTTTTGATAAAGGACATATTGACAAAGGATGCATCAACCATAGAGATGCAGAAAGTCTATCCTTCGCATGGAAATCTTTTTACCACGATGATTAATTTTCTTAATACTTTATTTAATTTAATTCTTTACGACAACGATTAATTTTCTTAATATTTTATTGTAATTTAATTTTGTTTTACGTTTTATTTTATTTTTATTTTGTTGTAATTAATTTCAAATTTTTAAACCGTTGTATTGCTTGCATTCTATTTTATGTTCGTTTTTGTTTTAAAGTGGCTTAACTGAAGAAGACTATTAAAATTAGTCAAAAACGTTTATTATTTTTATTAAATACTTTGTTGCTGGAAATACTAAGGTGTTTGATTATTTTAAGTTGTTTCTCAAAACTTTAAATACAGTAAAACCCCAATTACCTGAAATAATATGGATTAATGACAACTAAAACTCTGATAAATCAAATGGCCACAATCATTTTGAAATAAAATTTAGGAGTTTTTATTTCAAAGTGGTCATGGCTCTTTTTATACCTTAGTCAGTTTAATCACGTATGAACAACACTTTTTAAATCATTTACTATATAACTAATACATTATGTATAATAGTGTTAAGAATAAAATGTGTGTTATTGTAGTTGCATTTTAAGATAAATGGTTTATCACACATTGAAATCAAATGATAAAAGGAAACAGAAACAAATAATTTTGTAATACATGTTATCATTTTAAACTTTCTTTAAAAAGTCCTTTAGAGCATTGTTTCTCAACCCAAAACTCATCACAGACTGGAAAAATCTGCATTTTTTAAGCAGACTGGTGACAATATTATTTTTAATTGAAAAAATTCTCTGTTGTAAAAAGAACTGCAAACTACATTGAGCAATAAATATTTGTTATTTATTTACCAGTACATTAGTATACAAATCAATGTGATCGCTGCTTTTCTTTTTTGCTAGTAAGATCATCAATTCTTGGATTTAAGGTGGTAACTGCAAGGCGTAAGGCAGAACTAACACTTAAACGATTTCGTTGTTTCAATTTTATTATTGCCATTGCTGAAAACGTTGATTCACATAAGTATGTTGTTGAAAAAGGTAGTAACATCCTAACTGCCTTTTTATGTAAAACTGGATATTCAGTTTTAACTTTAATCCAAAACTGTGTTATGGGCATTGATTCAAATAATGTTTTTAATTCCAAGTCTAAACTTAATTTGATTAGTTTTTCCTGTTCAAAGTCATTCAATCTATTAGTTTGTTGATCAATAAACGGATTAATAATCCACATATTTCCTATTCGGGAACAACGCAGGACAGGTTAAATATATATTTTTAAAGTTTTCGCAGACTGGTCAGATTAGAGTTGCAGACTGGCGGTTGAGAAACACAGCTTTAAAGTTTTTTGAATTATAATGTTCCTCCCTTCTTTGCCAGTGTTCTTCAATCACATCAGCATTTTCATAGGAAGTCTGTTCCCAATGAATTGGTTTCATTCCTCACCATCTGGCTGTTCTCATGAGTCTGACCAAATCTGTGATGGGCATGGAAAAGGGGCCCTCTTAGTGTTTAAAGGGCAAGAAAGAGTTTAAAAAATTCATTGATAGTTGAGGTTAAAAGTATGGTAGAACATCGATTATCCAAATGTTGATCAACCAAAATGTCAATTAATCAAAAGCTTTCCAGTCGGCAAATTTAAATTTCTGTTAGTGCTGTGGCACTGCAATCTTTGGCTATGTCTTGGGCTCCTCTAATATTATTTTTGTTGGTGTGCGTGTTTTAGTTGGCAGCACTGGCGTGACCATGAGAGGGTACTTAAGGACATGCCAGGATTTGAACGAATTTCGACATGAGATAGGTTAATATATTTTTTCCTACATAATCAGTTATCCGAAAAATCAATTTTCTGAACAACCCCAGTCCCCAATTGATTCGGATAATCGATGCTCTGCTGTATTATAGTAGTTGTGCTTGGTACATTCACAGCAAAAAACTTTCATAAATATAAAAAAAGTGGTGTATTCACTTCAGATTTGCCTTGAGTAATACAGAATTTTGGATAATTAGGGTTCTACTGTATTTAAAATTTATATTTAATTTTTTTATCATCAATACTATTTATATAATTATAAAAAATAGAAGGAAAGTCTTTGTTGTAGTGAATTTTTGCTTTGGCTTTTTATTTTTAATAATAGTTACCACATAGATGTCACTGAAAAGATGGTGTATCAGATATTTACATTTCATTTGCATTGACCCAGCAGTACAATGCTCCTATAAGCAAAGCAGGATAAGAGCATGCTCTTCTTTGCAGAGAAATATGGTATTTATAATTATATGTACAATGAATTGCTAACACAAATAAAATGGAATGTTTGAGATGATATCTTTTAAACTGCATACCAACAAGTGTTTGGAGATTCAGGTTATATTATTGTACAGTATGTACTGTACTAGCAATTTTTTGCAGAGTATTTGATATTGTGAGAATTATCTGAACAAAATTACATTACATATTTTTTATATTTTAAAACATTTCGAGTAACTATTTATTGAATAATTCTTATCATTTTTAGCAGTGATATTCCAAGAATTTGACATAATATTTTCTATTATCAAAACATTTTCAGTTTGATTTAAAATATCTATTTTCACAAATATTATTTGTTGTATAATTTAGTTAATAACAAAATAATGTATAATAATTTTATAAGTTTAAGTTTTAATTTTTACAAAAAATCAAATGTTTTGCAAATTATTTTAAGTCATATACCAACCAACACTTATTGAATGATTGGTATAGAGTCAAAAACATTTCAGTAATTAGAGAATAATTGATGTTTTCAATTTAACAGTTGACTGAATTATTTAATAAATATGACTGAATTATTTAATAAATATGGTTCCAATTTTTGAAATACAGTTATTAATGATATATAATAATTTAATTTCAGGTTTCCTCCTATAGTTAATTTGTCATTAAGTGCAGGAAAGTTCCAAGATAATCTTAATGAAGAAACTCCAAAAATTCATAAATATTTTAGTCTTAATGGAAAATCACCTATCAAAAATAAAATAAATATTGAAAACAAAGAAACTCCAGAAAGCAAATTAAAACAAAGTACTTCATTCAATGAAAATAATAGTGAAAATACATCTTTGCAACTTCCTACAACTTCCATAAATAGTTATTTTCAGCCTATTAAAAGTGGAGAATGTTCAAATATACAAAATTCTATCAAAAAACCAAATAATAGCAATAACCTTAAAGGATTTTTTGCCACAAAATTGAAATATAATGAAAGTAAAAATTTATCAAACAAAAATTCAACAGATTTGTTTTTAAAACAAAACAAAGGTGAAGAAAGTAAATATGAAGAAACAAATGAAAATGATGAGATTAAATCAAAATTAGATCCAAAAGAAAGTCCTGACGATGATAGTTCTGATAAATGCTTGGATTTCTCTGTTATGGAAGATAAAGATCGTGGATTATCTACATCTAATGAGAAAAATTTTACATTGACTGAAGATATAAGCAGTAAATGTGAACAATGCAATCAGTTAATTCCTGTTTGGGAATTTCAAGAACATCAAGATTATCATTATGCTGTTTCTGTGCAACGTGAATTAAAAAATGCACAAACTCTATCAAGTGGTAAAACTCAAACAGCTACAAAAAGAAAAGCAAGTCCAAGTAAGAGTAAAATTATTAAAAAGAACAAAGATGGATTGAAAACAATTGACAAATTTTTTAAAAAGTCATAAGTGTTTATGAAAAGAAAATTATTTTTTGAAATTAATTATATATATATATAGATAATATAGTATATATACCTTCTTAACATTTATTTATATATTTTATACACATATATACAGAAATGATATATTTATATTAATAAATTAAAATGATTATTTTTTAAATAATATTCAAATGAGATTATGTAAATAATCATGATTGTTAAAATTTGAATGAAATTTCCAGCATATTTCTATATATTTCCATTAAAATGTTTATAATGATGTAAAATTATAACTGGTAAAATTATAATTATATGAAGATAAAGTTGATTTATTTATTAATTATAATACAAAGTTCTGCTAAAATAAATTTTAAGAATCAATATTAAATTTCAATTCAGAAACTTTATACATATTGTTCAATTATCATCTGTTTAAAAAAAATGTTGTCACCAAATTTGGATTCCAATTATGTTAAAATTTTAAAAAATTATATGAATTAATTATATAAATATTTTATTCAAGTTAATGTGTTTTAATCAAATATTTTTAAATTGTTATTCATTTTGTTGTTTACATTTTATATTGATATACTGGAAATATGAATCACTTTTTGTTGTAAAATTTTTAAATAATGAAAAATATAAATTATGAATTACTTGAATAATGTGATTATTTTAGGAGAATTCTTTGAATATCAAAGAAAGTTGACTTAGAGATGTTCTGCTGTTATGTTTCAGTACTTTTAAAAATATTTTTCAATAAATTTTTATTTTAGAATGAAATATTAGCTTATATTTAAAATGTATCCCAATGTAAACTTGTATTAATAGAATTTTTATCATCTAATAAGAATATTTTATCACACTTTATTTTATTGTTTCACTAATAGTTTTGTGTGGTGTTCAGATTTTTGAGTATGTTAACAGCAGTTATTTTGTTAATTAAATTAGATTTATAAAATTTCTCTTTTGGACGAAATTAAACTATTTTAGTTGACTGCTTACATTACATTATATATATATAATATATATATATATATAATTATATATAATGTATATATATCTTTTTCAATATTTTCAATTTTTTTTAATATATATATTGAAAATATATCATTTTGAGAAATGTTGAATAAATGCATTTTGAGAAAGTTTTTCTTTGGTTTTTATAAAGTGAAAAGCAATTGAATAAAGCTTTAGTGAAATCATTTTCAGTGCCATTGATTTTGTAAGTTTTTAATAAATAAGATATTACACTTCGCATTTATTAGCGAACATACATTCGTGCGTTCGGTGTTCGGAGTAAACAGGAAAACGAATATGTAAGGACAAACATTTTCATAGAAACGGAAGCGTATAAATGATCATACGAGGGTTATGCCGGATTAGTCAGTGTATTGTATTGTATTGTATTGCATTGTATTTCGAAAGAGAATGTTTCCAATATTAAATTTGAAATTAAATCATCACAAAGTACAGTTAATTTTTCTTATAAGTTACATACGCCTATTTTTTTTTAATTATTTCACTAATAAAACTAGTAAATAGCTAGGACGCTAACATTTAAAATTAACAAGAGGTTATCAGAAGAAAACAACACTGACTGCTTCATTTTTCATTATCCTACGTCGTTTGTAACATCTCAGGAACAAACCGTCTTACAGCGGAGTCGACCTTTTATTGTAGGCTCTTATCCGCCTCAATATGTAAAACATGTAAAAAATTTACCGTTGGCAATGACTAAAATCGTAAAATGTGTTTATATATGTATATAAACATTATTATTAAAACTAGTAGGATAAATAACCAGAACGATGATAACATTTAAAATTGCTGAGGTGTTAAAAAGGACGTAAGATAAAGAAAAATGAAGCCACGTGTTTTCTGATAATTTGTGAAAATTTTAAGTTATTTCACAGTTTTATTGGAAGACTATAAAATAACGTTCGCAAAACTCCCAAATACAGTACTTTCAATCCTTCGGTTCATCAAGGAAAATTTTAGAGTATTAATTTCATGAAAACTCGTTCAAATATTACGTCTTATGAACATTTATAAGATATCCTGATGACGAATCGAAAAGTATGAACAGCCCCGTGAAGTGGCTCCTCCCCTAACCATATTTTCTCACTTGCCAGTCCCAACGATCCATTCAGATCCTCCGCTAAATTTTTTACTTTGAGGTGGATTTTTGTCTATTGCCTCGTGCACAAACTAGTGTCCTTGCAAAGAAACAAAGAAATTTTACTGAAAAAGTGGGTATCGGCAATGTCTTCCCTCTCTCGCCAGGGCTGAATTTGAAAGTACACTGGACTTTTTAAACGTTTTATCTTCTAATGTCTAAAGCCGTGAAATAATGTACTGTATTTTGAAAAGTTGAAGTTTTTAAAAATTTTTATGCAGCAAAATCGCGCGAAACCGTGGGAAAAATAACATTGGACAACGCTTGAAGAAGAAAAACTCACAAGAAATGCGACTTCAAAAGCTTGTTTTTGAAAAAGACGTTCGAAAGTGTAAGCACAGTTCTCTCGAGTGTATTTCGTTTTTATCTTTCAATGGTTTATTTTTAATTAGACGTTATACATTTTATTATTAGTAGATCTGGAATTCTTTCTAAATAAGAATCCCGCAAAATCTAGGTAAAATAAAAAATGTGACAAATACCATTCCATGTGAAAAACCTATAGTAAATAAAACAAACATTAAAAATTTTAATATAAATTGTTATAGCGTCCAGTACTAAGCGACTATTCGATTAAGCAAATAATAATAACTAAATAAGTAACGAGCAATTATTTATTGTGACATCGTCATAATGTCGGGCTACAATTTTAAATCATTTTTAATTTAATTCATTTAAAATATATGCTCTCCATCTCAAATTAGTACTGTAGTGTCTTTCCCCTGTACGTCATACTTTTCCTTTAACAGTAGAGTCGTGCCAGTCATCCATTAACTGAAGTGCTTTCAGGGAGAAATTTTTGAATTGAAATAACGTGACTTCCGGTTTGCATCGGAAGTTTTTATATAGTTAATCGGGGCCTCCTGCCTCTAAGTTTTCCGTATCTGATCTCGACTTTCATCTATCTAACTCCGTTCTCGACATTAAGGAAAAACGGGCGGACGGCCTAATGACTGGGAATTTATAGATCTACAATTTTTCCAAATTGCTGCCCGATAATGACAAAAATAAATAGAGGGAAAGGCTAAATAAAATGCAATCTTTTATTTATAAAGGGAAAAAAAGAGTAGTTTAAAAGACATCATTTACAATTAAAATTTATCATAAAAATATTCAACATAAATACATGCAAAGGCTGCTTTGCTATAACAAATAGTAATAGACTAATAATAATTTTTGAATAAAAATGTTATTGTAGTTTGACTAGGAATAGGTTACATGTAATCTACTGGAGGCAGTTTGGGGGAATTCATTTAGCTTCCGGAGATCGTAACTTCACATATAAGACACGAGGCTGTCTTTTTAGCCTTCTTTTTGGAAAAAGTTTCATCTTATATGAAGTAAAATACGACAGTAACTGAAATATCGATATACGAAACTAAATAATAATTAAGATTAAAAAATAAACAATAAAACAACGCTATAATTAATCACACAAATGTGGTATTACTTTGTTGGGAACATTAGTCATTCGAACATTGTTATACATACCCAAGCCATCGAGGAGAAGAGGAGTTGAGAATTTTTCTCCGGCCCAGAGGAAACTTAGAAGCCCGTAGTGGTTCCAACGTTCATATCCCTATACATTTTTATTTTTACTAACAAAAGCTAAAGCTTTTTCATTAATAAAAAAAACATTCTAGGTATTTTACTTATTCAAAAAATGGCAAAAGAGGCCTATTAATGAGCAAACGGAATCTGCTCTATCCTCTGGCCCACACGAGCTCTTCACGGCCCTTTACTGTACAGTACATATCGCATTTATATGAACATACAAAATTTTATAGACGAGGCTAGTGAACGGCGCCAGTTTTCCCGTTGGACTTGTTTGTAAAATTTGCATGAAAGATGTGAGACTATCGAATATTTGCCTTGCTTTTCACACGCTCGTCTAATGGTCTGAAACGTTCAAACCCCTATTTGTGAGTTTTCTCGGTCTATTCGATATGCTCAATTAAAGTTTTCAATTTCGTGATAAAGTTTAACATTTAGGAAGGATAGGTCAGCCTAAAAAGCCTCTTAGGTTTTTCGCCACAGGTGATTATTATTATTATTATTATACCTGATTAAGCAAATAATTATAGTCATAAATAGGATTGTGTGTGTATGCGCGCCTGTGCATACAGATTGTGTGTGGGGTGGAATAAGCCAACGCAACACTTGAATGATACGCTAAGGGAAAGGATGTCTCCGGAGGACTTTTTTGGAAACTCTCCTATTTAGGTATTACACATTAAGAAAATGAAAACTTCCACGCGGTCAGCTCGAATCCGCAATTATCGATGTTCATGATTTTAGCCACTCGGCCACAGGCGAGCCCCATAGTGTCTTTGAGAGTCCCATAGAGTCCCCCATAGAGTCTCATAGAGTTTTAAATGTAGGCTACTTGTTTGCATAGAATAAACAATTTTCTCCATAAATTGTTCAGCGAACTTTCACAAATCGTTTCTAACGAATAATTAATACAAAATTACTTAATATATTTCGAAACTTTAATAAATATATTACTTTTAATTATTAGCGAGTAGACATTTTATTAAATACAACACACAAAGAAACAACATTTTTATTTTCATTAAATTTTTGTAAAAAAGAAAAAAAATGACTCGAGTTTATTCAACTTGTTTTGAAGAAATCTTTTAAAACAATCATTCGGCTCGATGAGGTTGAATGGTCGGTAAATACAAAGTATATTCTCCGTAATGGTATGGCTGCAAAAATTATCGATTGATTAAAATTGACTGTAAAAAGGTTTTAATGAAAATATTTAAAATCATTTTATTAAATTTCTGTAAATAAACTATGAAAAGCAACCGAACACGTATCCATTATATTAAATAGAGGGATCTGCAAAGTATTACTGTATTTTAAGAAAACACAACACCAAATTACTTTATATACTTTTGAAAATTTGATTTAATTTGTATTTCGTTATATTTAATAAAGAATTAATAAAAAGTCAAGATATAATCTTATAATTTATTTAAAATCCAAATTTAAGAATTTTACATTCTCCGAATCTACGTCTTTATTGTTAAAGTTATTGCTAAAAAAAACAGATAAAAATTTAAATAATTTTTAGTTTATTATTGTTTTTAAGATTTTGTGAATATTTATAAGGGAAAAACTTTATCATTTCGAAAGAATTGCATGATAATGCTTCGTTAAAAATTAAATAAATATATTTTCACGTAAAATTTAATTTATTAGATGCAATGTTTAAAATTTAATACATTACAGGAAGTTTTTATAAATGTTATTTTGAAAAGAAACGCCTTCAAACTGATTTCTTGTTAGAAACTGTAATAAATACTTCTACTGAAACGTATTAATGTATTAAACAAATGATTTATATTGCTATTGATTTATTCAAATGACTTAATACCTCTTTTTATAGTTCCGTAAAACATAAAATATTATAAATTTACATCAAATTGATTATTGCTGTTTGATATTTTAATTAATCTTTATTAAAAATGTCACCCTGTCTGTTGTGCCCGGACAGATGCAAAACTTAAGATATTGGTTTAATTATATGTGTTTGTATTTGTTCTGTTTTAAAAAGAAAATCTTTTTATTTTACCATATTAAATATACGAAATAACATATTTTCATAAATTAAATATATTTTAAAAGTTACTTATTTTTTTACGCATTTTTAAATTATAAATCGCATTTCATATGTTGCATTCGTTTATTGATTTTGACGCAACCGATTATCATAAGCTAATGCCCTTCACTACAGTTTGAAAAAAATAAAGAATTTCATTTAAGTATAAATAGGATTTTTGATTAAGTGTATCATATATTTTGTTCGATGGGCGAAACATTCCTGAAATTTACAGCATGGTATACAAGTTAGATCTGTATTTTGACAAATTAAAATAATCGAGCAATTCTCGTCTGTTATTAATAAAGTAAAATTTATGGCAGAAATTTCTAATTTATTAAAATAATTTAAAGTTGTGAGATGTGGCCAATTCTAGCATAAATTTATATTAGCCTATTTATTCAGCTGTCAAACTTATAATATTGCTACAAACATATGCACATTTAGAAAATATTTATGTTTTATAAGTGTGACGTGTTTTCTAACCAAATATAAACGATAAAGATTGTGTTATGTAACAGACATTCTGTCTTTTATGCTTACCCCATTTCTTAACTTTGAATGCCCATAATAGGTATAATTAAGGTCAGCAAAATATCTTCTATATCTGGTATCGCGTGTTATAAAATTAAGCCAACTATTATATATGATGATTGGTTGGTTAGTGGTCGTTCTTAACCTGGTTGCTGGTGAACCCAGGTCAATGTATTATCTGGGAAAGTCAATAAATTACTTGGGGTCGTTTGGGAGTTAGTGAACTAATTTCTTTTATTACTGTATATATAAAGATATCAATTGTATTATTATTATTATTATATCTTTAAATTTGAATTAAAAGTGTGTATTTTGATGTTTAGTAAAAATGATTAATTTTTATTAAAATTATTTTCGGCACTATTACCATATTCTGTAATGGTATTTAACGATATTTTGAACGAAAAATAGATTTACACAATTAGATACGTAATTTGAAAATGATTTTATTTTTATTTTCAATTTTTGAAAATATTTAACTCACTTTTGGCCTTCGATTTGACATTTGCGAGTTATTCATCCAATTTTCATTTAATTCAGGTAATCGAAAATCGCGTTTACGTTTATCTTTCTGAAAATATAAACATGCATTTTATTAGGGAAAATTTGTTTATTTGTTCGCAAAATGACAAAAATATAGATTGCATTGTTAAATATATTCCCAGAAAACAAGTTCAAATAATTAATTGTTTAAAAAAATTTCCATTCAAAGAACATTATTTCTTACTATATTACATATTTCATCAGTAATCTATAATAGATTTAAATACTCTTAATTACAACACTATAACTATAAACACATTTCTCAATTCTTTAAGATTTAAACATCATGAAATTCTGATGTTTAAATTATTATTTCTATCCAAAGAAATGACAAAACATCAATAACAACCAAATTTATTAATAAATTTGTAAGAAGTATGATAGTTACTTCATCTAATATTAAAACTGAATGTTATATTCATCCAAAGAAAAACGCATAAAAACTGTGCTTGACTCTAGGTTTATAATTAAATTCCTTCAATAATGATATAATCTAAACATTTAATTTGTTCATGTAATAAACGATAAACGAGTAACTGATTTAATTAAGAAGTACAGTACGTATAACGAAAGAGACGGTCTTCACAGTTTAGAAATAGTTAACTGTATTTCACATGTTATTGAAGAATATTCGCGTTTTCAACAAATTATATTTGATAAAAGGCACTTCATATTTTCAAGATATCAAACAAAAAGCGATAACAATAACTATAAATAATATGCAAAATTATGTTAACCATTTCAAATGATCCTTAACTAAAGAGAAGAAATTTTAAAAGTATAATGCACTTCATATTAAGGAATAAAGTTAGAGTTCAGATTATTTATCTTGAGAATGGTTTTATTGTATGAACAAACGTCTTCCACGATTTAATTTGTTTTCTTTAGTTTTAAGGTTCATCAGTGGCCAAGTAGTTCCGTTCCCGAACACTGGGAGTTCGGTCGTGAGTTCGCTCCTCGCCAGAACGGGCTGGCCACGAGGTGTTTTCCGAATTTTCTCCACGTCTGTAACGCATGAAGATGGGCCAGTTACACTAAAAAAAGACCTCCCGGAAGGCATCCATCCTAGGCAGATCGCCTAGGAAGCGATCTGCCTAGACCGTCAGCCTAAAATTTTAAAACTTCGAATGTAGTCGTAATATTCATAATGGATTACAAGGAAGACCTTGTTAGTACTCTCAGGATTGAAAAAACTTTTAAAATATTTACTATATTACAGGAAAAAATAAAAAATCCCAGACATTGGTTTTTATGTTGTAATTATTTTTTTTCAAATTTTCATTGGTTAAAATTATTTTCACAATTCTTTCATATTCTTTGTATAATGATAAGATAATTTTTGTGCTTTTAACTAGTACAATGTCTGATCACTGTGTTACAAGACAATCGACTGAAAAGGCAAATAGCTCATAGATTCTATCCAAAAAAATCGGAAGAATTTTTCATCAATAATATATGTTTTTCATAAATATATAAGAAAAAGTAAAAAAAAAAAAAACTTAAATCAGTTAGCGAAAACTTTTCGATGAATCTATTTTCTCTTTCATTTGCTAAATTTAGTGGAAATTTTTGTTAAATTAGGCCTATGCAGACCTACATAGTAATTATATTCAGTTAAACACTGATATTTATGATTTCTTAATAACTTGTTTATTACAACTTTAACAAAGTTAAATTATGATTAGCATTAAATTAAATTATATATATTTTGAACAAAATATAGAGAATCAAATAAAACTCTAAACGTAAATATATTTTACAATTAATAAAATAGTATGATAAGTAGTATCTTTGACTGCTTATGTAGCTATTAATATCCTTTGATTTACTATTATATTTGACACACTACAGCATATATTACTATAAATTTTCTGAACATTTAAAGTACTCTACTCCGTTTTTATTTATTTTTATTTCTGCAGCTTTAAACCGTATCAGATCTTTAAGAACTCTAATCAGATCTGTAATAAAGGATAGAAATCTTATACATTTTACACATAAAGGAAGCTATATTTTCCATTCTTTACTTATGCTGGCTGACCCTACTGCCGGCAAAACTGAGTTGATCAGGAGTCTGCTGTGCATTAAATACAATCTTCTATTATCGTTTATTGTTAATTACTGAAAAAAAATTTGACAAGCTAAGTGGTCGAAGCGGCAAAGATGTCTGTCTACCTCTCTGAGGGATCCGAATTCGAGTCTGGGTCAGCTCAGAAATTCTCACGAGTAATGGATTGATCCAGATATGTCAGATACCGTCTCTCACCGCCCAGTCGCCCCCATTATTGACCTGGACGAACTCACAATGAAAGCTTGGCTTGAAAAAGACCTAATTAGCTTTCTTGGGTCAGAAAAAAGTTCAAATTAAAAAATTCCATGCAACGATAAGAAAATTAGGAATGGTTTCGAAAATTTGCCTATAATAAATCCTGAATCATTTATAAAACTTTTGTTAATTAAAATAGATTATTACCAATATTAAATCGCAAATCAAAGTAAAACATAACTGAACATTACAGTTCAACTGTTTAATTCCAGTTATATTAACAAGTAAGTTAAAAATAAACTTATCGATGTGATGAAAACTACAAGTTTTCAATATATTGACAAATTTATGACAAATTTAATGGATAATACATAAATAGTCTTATGCACCGAACCAAAACTGTACAAGATTACACAACACAATAAATTATAAAAAAAAAAAACAAAATGACAATTTGCATAAGGATATGTATATCAATCTACTCGAATTGCGGTTTAATTAAAGAGAATTGAAAATTATTTTAAAATAGAATAATATCTATGAATCCATGGATAATTATTCTATTATCTTCAATGATAGATAGAGTAAACGCGCTAATTTATTTACAGTTTGAAATCTTTTTTAAATACGTCTTTATTCCTAAATTTTCATCAATACCAATCCAAAATGAAACTAACTTACTTTAAATCCATATGACATAGAAACTCCCGAGTCAATTCTTAGATCAAGACTTGCCGCCCGAGGAATTTGTGGCGTCCTCCAGGAATCTCTACTCCATCTGGCTGACATGTCTGTGATCGAAGTACTTCGATGGGAATTTCGATATTTCTCTGCTATTCTTATATAAAAAATAAAATAAAGAAAATCAATTTATCCAGACAATTCATATTTGTTCTATTAAATGAAATATTGATATACAATAAACTTTGGATTTAAAGAATTAATTAGAGGAAAGGGGTATCTGCTATTGTCGAAAGTCCGTTAAATCTAAGGTTTTAAAAATATAATTATATTAACAACAAACATAAAATGTGCAAGACGTGTTAAAATGTTATTATGATGTATAGTATAAGCGTGAATACAAGATTATGTAGAGTACAGTAATGTAAATTGAATAATTTATTCTCGTTGACTCGTTGTTCCAACCGTTTAGCACGTTCTACAACCAATAAAAGAAAGCAAAATTATTGAAAATAATAATTTTGTCAACATTAAGTATTTCATATAACATTAAAAAAGTCAAAGAATTTAATCGAGCTTAATTAAATGAAATATACAATCGACCCCCTATAACACTGTTGATAATTCCATTTTATATGAATTCCATGTTGTACGAGTCACTTAGATTTTACAAATATGTGAGCCGTTCACAGCACGGCACACGTATTTGTAAAATCTAAGTGACTCGTACAACATAGAATTCATATAAAACGGAATTATCAACAGTGTTATAGGGGTCGACTGTAATTAATTCGAAGAAAATAATTAAATAATTACATAATTAAAAAGAAAGTAAAGAGCTATGCTTAGTATTTATACTCTAGATTAATTCACATATTAATATGTGCTATTAAGGCCAATATGAGATTTTAGGCAGTAAAAATATATTTTAACAGCAGCTAAATATTTATTAATATTAGTTTACTGTGATTATAATCGATTACACTGATGAAACGTCTGGATGAAAAGGAAAGATTGAACGAGTCTATTTAAACCAATAGACTCGTTCAATCTTTCCTTTTCATCCAGACGTTTCATCAGTGTAATCGATTATAGTCACAGTAAACTAATATTAATAAATACCGGTAATATTTAATGAAAAAAAAACGATAAGAAGCATTAATTAATTAGTTAAGCATCTAAACAATTTATCGGTTAAATTATAAAATAGATCTCATTGATCTTAAATAAATAGATCTTTTCTTACGATACCTGTGAATTTCAAATAATTAGGGAATATGTACTTTAATAAATCTAATGTAGGTCTAATATCAATCACTAGCTGTCAACAAATTCGTGTCACTTCAACATTAAAAAAATATTGATAAGGTGGATTATCTCTTACAGTAGTCTGACCGAACCCATAATAGTTATGAAGAAAGGTTCCCTTATTGTCCATAAAGTGAAGGGAGAGACATGCGTTATTCTTTAATTTTTATACCAGTAAAATTGAATCAGTTATACACATGTAACAGATTATTAATATGCTATGTAGGCCTATATCTATTTTTGCGCTTACAATTTTATTTTTGTAACATTTCTTAATTTTTTAAATTTGTAAACAAACAAAACATAAAATGTTACAAAAATCATTGGATTCTATTTGAATTTATTTGTGTAACAGTAAACCATACCTGATATTTCGAAAGTAAGGATGATTTAAAGCCTGTCTGGCGTTAATTCTTTCATCTTGATCATAAGTACAAAGAAGTGAAATTAAATGACGAGCATCAGAGGATATTTGAGGTGAAAAATTAGGAAGACCACTTCCTTCAGTTGGAGTAAAATGAATATCGAGTCGAAAACTATGTGTACTAAATAGAAGTAAATATAGAAGATACATTTATTTCTAAACTAAATTTTATTATTTATAATGAAATAAATTATAAAATATTAAACCAATTTATAAATAAAGAAATAAAAATGTACGTACTGTTGAAATAATTTGGCAATAATATGAGGTTTGGGCGTTCCAAGTACATTATGGATTTTTGTTATTTGATCGACTTCACTTTTCCCAGGAAATAACGGGGTATTTCTAAATATTAAACATTCCATTAAAATTATGAATACTTGAATACTTCTTACAATTTATATGTTATTAAATATTTACGTTAGAACTTCGAAGAATACACATCCAGCAGCCCACATATCCATCTTAAAGCTATAATAACCATTTGTAAGTAAACATTCTGGAGGCCTGTACCTGTAAAAGATTAAATTTATGCTATAAAATCTCTTTTCCTCATAAAACAATTTCTGAGATAAACATTAAAAATAATTATTATAAACACTAGAAAAATAAAATCAAATTCTTGTCTTCATTTATTCATTTCATTGTTTCATTCTATTATATAATACTATATTTTAGTTTTTATTAATGCAGTATTGTCATCACTTCAAGCATGAACGAATCAAAGCATTTATATAAAAAAATGATTACAAAACTTTCGATACTAAAAATATTCTAATTAGTCATTTCGTTATTCTTAAATGAGTCATTTTGATTGAAAGGAATATAGCAAAATAGAGATTTATTCCTTCGTTGTATTAACATTAAAATTTATTCAATAAAACCTTTATGTTATAAAATGTGTATATATCCATTTTAAGGCTATAATAATCATTTGTAAGTAATCATTCCTCATTACACAGTATTATACTTATGTTGAAATGTTAGATACAGAAATCCCTGCATTTATGCGAGTAATTGGTTTCACGAAAACAGCGCGTTACTAAAAACAGCGTAAATGAAGGGATTACCGTATTTATTTTATAATATGTAATTTGTATGTTTGATTATGGGTAAAGATCTACCATTAACATTCTGTTCAAGCAAATTATTTACATCCGTGGATTGTCTAAATGTTCAGTAAAAAATTGGCTTAGCTACATGAGAGATCTAGGTTCGAATTCTATTCAGATCTTCGTGTTCTTTTACGGATATGACTGTTGTCAAGACAGCGTTATGCGTTTTTAACAGAAAAACCCACGTTTACAGCATGTTTGAAGCTCAATCCAACTGATATTACTTAAACAGTAAACTAAGCGATCACTGTTCTTCTAGCTTCTGAACGATTAAACTTGTAAGAAAGAGGTTGAAACAAAACAAAAATCAGATCATCTATAAAAAATAATTTAAAGATTAATGAGAAACTTGAGAACTTCAAATCTCAATTTTCGTCCAAATGAGCATACTGTATATTTCATTTTTGCATATAATATAGCATACTACATATTTCATTCTATCAGAGTAATTCTTAATGTACAAAATTGAGGCCACAAAATTGTTCTTAGTTTATTTTTGTTTTATTCTCTAATTCTGTCTTTCTGTGCATTCGGGCGAACAGACAGCAAAAGATATTTCATGCAAGCCGCGAATCTGTGCTTCCTAGCTAATTCGCTTTACTCCGCTTAGAAATAGACCATAATTTTATTTTCACTTTTTTCTATCTTTAAGACATTAAGGGCGAAATGCGCTCTTATTATTATGTATTTTGTCAGACCTTAACAGGGCTGCCCGAGTGATAAAAAAAAATAGAATCAGTATATCCAGGTCAGACAACAGAAAAAAAAAAAAATCTTAATGAATCCTATCGTTCAGGAATGAAAGGCCAGTCGTTCGCCACCTCGCTCAATAATACATAATATACAAAAATCTCAGAAAAATTCAATCCAATCATCTGTATAAACGTGCAATAAATCACTCTTCTATCATCTAGTGAAACTTATAGTTGGAATCTAATATGGATAGAATCAAAATGATTATCCATACTGTATTTCTTATCTATAAGCCCTACTTTCAAATATCAAGTTCATATATAATGTCCAAAATTAAGAGCGTTAACGTGTATTTGTATCTCGTGCTTATTGATACCAATTCAATTTATTATATAATATTTAAATTCTTAAATTTGATTTGATCTTTTGATTTATTTGATTTTATGTAGATTTAAAGTATTCGGGTAGTAGTTCTGAATTGGTAATAATTATAAAATATGTCTTGTCCGATTGTTTTAAATGAATTTAAAATAATGTCCATTCATTATTATCAATATAAGATAATGAAAAATTCTTATAATCACTATTATAAATTGGCAAATCATTTAAACATTGCTGTTTAAAGTATTTGGTAGATTGAGACGAATCGGTGTAAGTGAAAAATAGGGAATATCGTCACGATCAAATTATATGAGTTAATTACAAAAAATTTCCATGAAGATCCAAATCGAATCCGAACATTGTCGTAAAGATTCTCTTCACGGCTGTAAATTAATGTCTTGTTTGGAAAATAGTTTATATTAATATTATAAAATTTAGACAGGTTTATGTAAAAGAGTTCTTTAATTTATAATCATATAATTTCATTATGATAAATACAAAGTAATAAAAAAAAAAAAAAAAAAATGGATGAAATATGAAGTCAAGCAAAGATACATATAACTTACCATCTTGTAGAAATATATTCCGTATAAGGTGGCTTTGTATATATACTTCTACTACTACCAAAATCTGCTAATTTCAGCAAATTGTCCTTAAATAATATAAAAAATTTCATGATGATTTTATGTTTCGTATGAAAAAAACAAAGAACTTTTTAAACAATATAATATAATTATTTGAAATAAATAAAACATTTAAAATGTACTCAAATAGAACATTTTAACTAAATTAATTGAAATGTAATATTTTTTTACTTTTTTACATTTCTTAATTACGATATACAAGTAATTAATATGATTTTCATATGATACATCCGTTCAAGTTAACATAAAAGTCAGTTTAATTAGAAAGCTATTTCTGTTTATTTTTATAACTTAATTATGAACTGTATTTTATATTATGGTAGATAATTTGAAAGGATTTATTACACATTACTAAAGTCCATTGCCTAAAATAACAATCTTTTTAAGAATGAAAATAATTAATGGATAGAGAACGTTTTACTTTAAAATAGTTTAACGTAAATCATAAGGGTAACATCAATAATATGTTAACTTGTATGATCGAAACATGCTCAATTCAAAGTTACTAAGCAAAATTCATATTAAGAATAAAGTTTTTTGAATCGTTGTTCAATTTACACGACCTAAAGTGTAAATAGTTACCATACCATACAGATACGCACCATAAAAAGTTATAACTGCAATGTAATAATGCACAAAAACACTATGCTATCTATATGACAAAGGAACAAACAGAATTTTTATTGTAACAATAACATACCTCTGCAGTCTCCGCTATACGGTGACATTTTTCGGTCTGCAGACTGCAGACCGAAAAATGTCACCGTATAGCGCCAACTTACTGTTATAATAATATTACTTCTATTTTATTTTTATTATTCATGTAAATCATTCAATGCAACTTGCATTTTAATGAAAAAGGAAAGTTGTTCCGAATATTAATGACATGCTTTACAGTAGCCTAATAAGCTAGTAATGAGAACTTAACATCGGCACATTCTTTATGTACAGTACTTACAAATTCCACATTGAATTCAGTTTTCCTAACAAATAATCTAACAACTGCCATAATGCATCCAAATTAAACTGCTGCAAGAATTTGCGAGAACATGAATTACTTTACAGAAAAGTCGTGTAAATTGTACTTGGTATAATTTACACGCAATTCAGTGGTACAAATTACACACACAGACAAGATTTTAAAAAATATTCCTAAAGTTTGAACGTATTCGTGCTATCCGCTTTCGAGCGGGGCAAGATTATGTCTTAACATCGAGTTTTTCAGAAAACACAGCATTCAATAACGACTTACAGCATAAAATTAAGATATAGAATACCTTAAGAAGATATGTTGTGTTCTTGTATGATTTGGCATTAATTTTAAACGAGAATTATTTATTGTGATATAATCACAATATCGAGGTGTAATTTTTTAGGTCTCGATTCTTGAAAGTAAAAATATAATATTGATTATTTTTCTGATATCCCATTTCAGGACCCCGCTTTGTCCTGAGGCTTGTGTCTATATAGGAGAGATCGGGGCAACTTCGGCAAGCGGGGCAAGTTTGTCAAGCGCTTTTTTTTAAAAACAAATTAAAAGGAGACTTTGGTTATAGGTTAGGCAGTTGAGTTTTATTAATGGCTTGTTGAGTGTAGTGTTTTTATTGTTCTCCAACAAGCGTAGTTGAATTATCAAGCAAATTTTCATTTTCGTTCAATTCCATATAATATTTTTTTTCCATTTATATTGAATTGGCAGGTTTTGTTATAATTCCATGATAACGAAAGTTACTTTTCCTGTTAGAAGGATGTAACTTCAACTTATTCACGTGGCCAGATCGTGGCTTGGCATTCTGTTCTCAGGGTTGTACTTAATGTTTCGAAATCATGACTAGCGGGGTAAGATCGGCAACATAAAGCCACATTAGAAGCAAAGGATAAAAATCAAACAGATGATAAATGAAAACATGTTTGCATTTGTTATTCATGTATATATGTCTTTGAACTTGCATTTCGTTGTAATAATATTAAATGGGTGTTGGATTTGTATTTCTTTGTTTTAATAGTGAATTCCAACTTATACATTGTTAATAACATAATTTTATATACGTGCCTATCTTGCCCCATTACTGTTGCCCCTATACCAGGGGCAACTTTAATAAAAATAATTAAAATAATTACAACTTTACAAAAAGAGAGAAGTTGCCGATCTTGCCCCTATACCCGGGGCAACTTCGTCAATTTCTCTCTTCTTGTAAAGTTGTAATTATTTTAATTATTTTTATTTCCAAACTGATTTTAACCAGTTCTATAGTAAGGTAACATTCCAATAGACAATATGCAAAGCTTTTTTTCAGTTTACAGCAGTATTTATTACACAAAATTTAAGTAAAGCTTAACATGCCGATCTTGCCCCGATCTCCCCTACCTGTTGCACCTGCCTAGTTACGGCACTGGATGGAGCTATAATTTCGATCTACATCATACTCATCATTTAATACGGATGAGAGATCAGGAATGACGCCCTGACCTAAATTGTCACTGTGTCTAGTTCAGATAGCCGCGTAGTAAAATGTAGTTCATAGTAATAAGTTAATGCTAATAATGTTAATAAGATATGGATTTTACCACAATAATTTTTATGAACATGAAGGAAGTATAGTGTTTATGTATTAAAGTAGTATGTATAGCTTGCATTTGAAATTTCTCGACTGTGTAATAATGGAAAGAGTGAATAAAAGAGATTGTAAATGACATTTTATAAAAAAAAAAAACAATTTTAGTTTTTAACGAGAGTTAGTTTAAAAACTATTACTAATTTATTTCATCGTTGTATATTTGAAAAAATAATCGCAAGGAGATTGATTATTCTTTAAAAACGTAGAAAAATATCCAAAATTTTAAAATATTCTAAAATAAATTAATAATTTCTTTATTTGCAGAGACGGTCTAACTTCGAAGCATTTTTTTTATTGTAACTGTAACAGAGATAGAAGCATTATATTAATTATTGTTATTTATTTCTATCAGAAATAATGGCGTTAAATATATATATATATATTTTGTATCTAATATTGATAGCAAATTATTGTTAAAAATATTGTAAACATGTGAAAATAAAGCAGCAATAGTCAATCATTCTTATTATTATCTGTATTTTCTTTATGAACAAACAGATCATCGATTGAAATAATTTTTAATAGAATAAAAAGTGCGCATTTTTTTTTACTATGCTAAAGCCGAAGGCTTCCAATAGTTGTTCTCTGTCTAGTATTCGTCTGATAATGGTCATTTTAGATACGTCCTCATAGATCAAAGGCAAAATGCGATAAGAAAGAGTCATTTTGCTTCTTCTGATCTATTCTTCGTGATTTTTGTCGTTAAAAAAGAAGTTCGTTTATAGTAAAAACACTCTTTTATTATTGTATTATCAAGAAATGATTTGATTTATCGAGATTTCTATCATAATGATATATAATGGCTGTAATTTTGTTTTCAAAAATGTTATCATCAACTATTTATTAATTAATATAGTGATTTAATACATATTTCTTCATAGATATTCATTTTAAATTAAAGAAAAATTAAAGATATACGAAAAATATATATTATTTCTGTGGGTTTTGGTTATATTTAAATATAATTTTTTAAAACATAATTAACGAATATAAATTGCAAGCTTACTTTTGATAGTTTATATATAGAAAATTACTATTTTATCAAAAATGCAAAATACTCTATATTCTGGTATTTCAAATATTAATTGTATATTTTTTCATATATTTTAATTTAATTTCTATTATATTAAAATAATAAGCAGAGTATATATTACGAATATTTTTACCTTTATTAATAAATTTTCTGGTTTTATATCTCTATGAAAGATTCCATGCCTGAAACAAAAATCAAATTTAAAAATATTTTAAATTATTTCTGTTCTTTTTAAAATTATTTTTATTTTTATATAATACAATGTGCTATACAATAATAAATAATAATTCGTAATTACCTGTGGATATGATTTAATGATTTTAATAATTGATACATATAATTTTTTGCACGAAATTCTGGTAAAGGTCTCTTCCGAGCTGGAATAAGTACAAAAGTAACCAATATAATTATAATAATACAGTATACAGGTACACAGTGTAAAGAAAACAATAGAAAAATTATTGTTCAAGAAATTATTTATAACATCCAGTTATATATAATAAATTAAACCACAAGTAGCCAAAAATTATTGTTTATCATTCATGTTTTATTAATTTCACAACATTAATTTCACTTAAATTTCATGAGAAATTAAATGGACGTTTTAAAAACTGACATAAAATGATGCTTAATTAATTTTATAATTAAATAAGTCATATTAATTTTAGATTAAATGTACATTTAACGTTTAGACTTTTACGTTTAAATATATGGAAAAAATAAATGCTAAGAGTATTTTAATAAAGAAAAGACTTGAATTAATATATATAAATAAAAATTTCAATGTAATATTGTGAAAAATTAGCATTGACATTTTTTTATTAATACTGTATAGATTTTATAAAGTTTTTTGAAAACGTTTTAAAATTAAATGGTTGCTTTGTTTTTATAGAAATTCAAAATAAATTTTAATAATTAAAATTACCTTTTAATAATTCGTGCATGTTTACATCCATCAACTCGAATACCAAAGCAAGTCTTCCAGTTGTTTTATCACTAAAAACAAAATGATAAATAATAAATTTAAATATGTTGAGATAGCATTTCCACTAACGAGTTGATATCAACTGTTTAAATATTTTAAAAATCTACATAACGAAAATTAAAATAATAAACACAATTAAATAAAAAATAATCACCATAATTTAAATTACAATATTAATAAATCTATACTTTCTTGTTAAAAATTTTTCTGATGTAGTTGTTTCGCTGTGTTATGCACATTGTGCATAACCAGCGAAACAACTACATTACCCTTCTAGATAGAAGTCTACAAAGTCGGAAGTGATTGAAGGTTTATGAACGTGAAATGATCGTCGTAATTTGATAGTTACTTTTTATGATATTTAGTTTTATATTTTCTATTCCTGATTTGAATTTTGTTGAAAAACTACTTCAATAAAATTTAAACATAACGGAGTTATAGATAGCATCCTTGATTTTGACAAGGGAAGTATTAAAATAGTTATGTTTTGAATATAAATAACAATCAAATCAATGAATTAATAATTAAATTAGAACTTAATATAAATAATATCTACGATGTGAAACTAAACTAAAATTGCAATAAAACGAAAGTTCTTAAGACGAAACAGCTAAAAAATNGATTGATAAAATGATCGATATTGTTATTAATGGCATAATTAATTGTTTTGTTTAATAATGCTAGTAATTTGGTGATCAAAGCTGAAAGAATTGAAACGCAGGCCTATAGGATTAAGCTTTATACAAGTAGTAATTATTTGGCTCTACAGACCTAATTTGTGAGAATATATTGTAATGTATATCTAGAAATGATCAATATTAGGTATGGTGCTAAGCATATAAGCTCTTCGAGATCATTCCAAATTTTTAAAAAACGGCCGAATGTTCTATAATTCGATATTAAAGAACTCCTGACGATGGTCTATAAAATAGGCCGAAAACGTTTGAGTTTAAAAGTATATCGCTGTTTGAGATGATGGTTGTTATACGAAATTAAATTAGAGCGAAATATTAATGCATACAATTTAGTACATAATTTGATTCTTTTAAGAACAAAAAGAAATCTGGTTAAGAATTGTGACGTGTCATAATAAACATTTATATACTAATTTAGTAGTTTTTGCAACTTTTGAGGTTTTTACTACTACTTTTTCAACATTTTGTGGTTACAAAATCATATTTCATGGCTCTCCTTACCATTATTTCCTTTATTATTTATGTAATATTCATTTAGCCTGCTATTTTAACATTCTTATTATATGTTAGTACTGTAGTCAAATTTTTATTCTATAATTCTCCTGTAATTAATCATTTTTCTTTTCTTAATATTATATTAATTCCTCTTCCATATATGATATTTTTATATTTAATATAAATTTATCACAATAATCAATTAACACATATTTTAATACAGAAATTGGAAGAAACTAGAAAGATTTTTCAATATAATATCAAAATGTCATGGTTTTAAAATTAAAAGCATTAGCAGAAACAAAAATTAATTTAACATTTTGATTTTAAATATATTTCAATAAAACTATAGCATTAGCCTAAAGTCAAAACACTAAATATTTGATAGCCTATCCGTTTCGTAAATTAGGAAAGAAATTTTTCAGGTAAACTATATTTGAACTAAACACAATCATGAGAAAATTTGAATACATTCTTCCTCTAAACTCGTTATATCTAAACAAGTTGTGATTAGTTTATTTAAAAGTCATACAATTAGTCATATTGATATATTCTATAGCTTTTATATATATTTAAACCGATGATTCTAAATAATTCACGAGTAAATTGGATGAATGGCAATGTAACTTAATTTATTTTACGAGAAACTCGTTCAATAATTCAAAAGAAAGACTTGCCAAAATGTCAAAATCAATGGTCAAATATCTTTTATTTGGAAATTAATAAAGAAGAAAAATCCATTAATTAATTTAAATAATGTTAGCTTTTACTGGTTTAAAGTAAATCTTATAAAGATTCTCGAAAAATTAAATATTTAAAAAACTATTAGTTAATCCACTATATATTTTCTTTATAGGGAAACAAATTATTCATAAAAAAATTTATATTTCTTTAAGTAATTATCTGTATAATTACATTATATAATTTTTAGAAAGTTATAGTTATCGACCTATTTCATAGCTGAATATAAAATTATAAACCAAATAAATAAAATACATAATTTTAACATAAATTAAGAACGCTGTTAGTCTAGAAACAAAATGCACGCTTACATGCAATCTGCATATAAACTCGTTTACATTTGCACGTTATATGTTTCTGGCAAAATATAATAGGATAATCACTGGAAATCATTATCAAAACTTTCAAAGAACGAAAATAATCACATGATTGACTGATTTTAGATCGAAAAAAGTGAGAACTGTGTTTAACTGCTAGGATTTATTCGGTAGTTTTTTCTACGTATATGAAAGATGAGCAGAGTTTCACGGAAAAGCTTTAGTCATGAGTTCAGTTTAAACTGCTTTGACGAATAACCAGATGACAATACTTCTATGTTCTGAGTAATTTTCGACTAATTCGAATCAACTGAGAGATTCTTGGTTTTGTTATTTCTTGACCTTCAAATTATTTAAAAAATGTACAGTACGCCTATACCAAAAACTATAAACTGGTCGAATTTATTTGTAACTATAGATATTAGAAAGCAAAGATTTTAATAAAATCTAATAAACAGTACGTGTACAGATCTTAACCAAATTATTTGATTACCTCTTCCTTTTTAATAAAACTGTATTTATGAAAATAATTTTGAAAAGCAATAAAATAGCAATTAGAATAGAAATAAGCAAATAATTTTATATTTACTATTTATGTTTTATGTTTATGTTTAATATAAACATAAAATATCTTACAAAATACAGGGCGATTCATGAAGGACTGAGCCCTTACGTATAATATTTCCGTATAAAATGAAAAATGAGCATGAAACAGGAATTGAACGATCGTTTATTTCATAACGAAGCAGTCGACAAAAGAATGTTTTACATTACATGTTATTCAAATGAGATATTGGACAAAGAAATGTTCAGATCCAAGAGAATCACCCCGTATAATATTATTAGTTTGATTATCATAATGAAAACGTAAAACCTACAGATATTTCTTTATTTACTTTAATTAAAACAAAGGATATTCATTTTTAGTATTCTACTTATTCACGCTTTCATAACAGGATCAATATTTTTGTTATAAATAAAGCTGAATATTACACAATGACATCATTTAGAAGTGAAATAAATTATGTTAAATTTTGAAAGTCTAAAATATGAAAATATCATATGCATTGTTAATAAAACAAAGAAAATCTTTCTTTAAACACACAACATTGAAATTGATATGCAAAAAATTGAATATATTATTATCATTCGGGAAGTAAAATTTATATAATAATTTGAATTTAATTACAACAAACACTGTTAGAAAACACTGAGCCTGGCCAACCCACAATGGGCCTTGGAAAAAAAACCATGTTAGTGACTGTAGGACAGAAAGAGCAAAAAAGGAAAAAACCACTGAAACTGCCTAATTAAAATTCTGTTGATCAAGTAATAAATACAATAAATCTACTATAAAAAATAATTAAATCAGCAGTCACGGCAGTGATTTCCCGCCAAGTAAAACAGTCAATGACTGACTATATATGAAGGAATCAGAATTGCAGATTTTCGGGGTCGATTTCTCCTCCCCAAACACCTGAAGTAATTCCGAATAGCTCGTTCGAAAGAAAATTGTTTTATTAGGAAGTGTGCAAAATTTCAAAATACGGATTTTATTCAAAATGTAACTCGGAATTACAAAAACTCAAATTTATGCGAATTGAAACGTTTAATAACGATTTTTCTAAACGGCGTATCGAACGGCGTAATACTTGGTGAAATTTTTTTACATCTCAGATGTTTTTGTTTGGATATTGAATATTCCTTGATAATACGTTTTCTGCGATTACAGCTTATTAAGGCCAATAACTCTCATATTTTTCGGTGTTTTACGGTAAGTTTATTCAAAATAAGCTTAAAATGACATGAAAATAAAATGATTATCATTTAAAAATGCCATTTTATCGGATTCTTCTTCTTCTTGGTGCCATATCAGATTCCTGACGTTGGCGACACCTGGCGCATTTTATCGGATAACGTACATAAATTGTATTAATAGTAATTAATATAAACATAAGTTTAAACTTACTGTTGGGCTGTAACCCAAGTTGAGCCAAGTGAGCCGTAATTTAAAATATGCAGGTCAGAGCAAAAATTTATTATTGTTCGGCTTATATAACACACGCATGATATTATACATTTTAATATTATATTACATATACAGTATAGTATTAGCATTCTTTACTCCAGAGGATGTACTGTACTGTACATGTTTCGCAACCTTGTTATGAACCAATTTTTCTTCATTGATACTGAACGTATCTACAGCAACATATAAATATTAATGGCTGCTTTGTTGATAAAGTTATTTTGTCAAAAATGAGGCTGCTTAACTGTTGGCTGTGAAACAATTTCGTTATGATTATGGGAAACAGCCACTGCTGGCCATCCAATACTAATTTTATACTATTACTGCTTGAAGTTTGGAAAAGTCTGCCAGTCTTGCTTACAATTCCAAAATCATAAGTTGAACTTCTTATTTTTAATTTTTATATTTACCCTGCTTTTAATAATATGCAAGATAATCCATTCAATTTTTATCTTAATAATAGATAGAGTTCATTTACATCATTTGTCGTAGAAATTCTTGGTAATCATTTAAACGCTTATTCATTATGCATATCCATAATAATATCAGATTTAAATTAGTTAATAGTTTAGTAGATGCTCAGAAATATACTTCTTTATACCCAATAAACTACTAAATGCACTATACAATTTACTATAATTTTAAATTTCTTGTTGTAACATTATAATAATAAATTCAACGTATTTTTACCAATAGATCGAGAACTATATGGAAAATGGACCAGTCTTCGGACTATAATTTGCTCAAAGCTTATTAAAAACGAATAGTAATTAAGAAAGCTTGAATTTTAAAGATTTCACTTGTNTATTGTGAAAAATTAGCATTGACATTTTTTTATTAATACTGTATAGATTTTATAAAGTTTTTTGAAAACGTTTTAAAATTAAATGGTTGCTTTGTTTTTATAGAAATTCAAAATAAATTTTAATAATTAAAATTACCTTTTAATAATTCGTGCATGTTTACATCCATCAACTCGAATACCAAAGCAAGTCTTCCAGTTGTTTTATCACTAAAAACAAAAATGATAAATAATAAATTTAAATATGTTGAGATAGCATTTCCACTAACGAGTTGATATCAACTGTTTAAATATTTTAAAAATCTACATAACGAAAATTAAAATAATAAACACAATTAAATAAAAAATAATCACCATAATTTAAATTACAATATTAATAAATCTATACTTTCTTGTTAAAAATTTTTCTGATGTAGTTGTTTCGCTGTGTTATGCACATTGTGCATAACCAGCGAAACAACTACATTACCCTTCTAGATAGAAGTCTACAAAGTCGGAAGTGATTGAAGGTTTATGAACGTGAAATGATCGTCGTAATTTGATAGTTACTTTTTATGATATTTAGTTTTATATTTTCTATTCCTGATTTGAATTTTGTTGAAAAACTACTTCAATAAAATTTAAACATAACGGAGTTATAGATAGCATCCTTGATTTTGACAAGGGAAGTATTAAAATAGTTATGTTTTGAATATAAATAACAATCAAATCAATGAATTAATAATTAAATTAGAACTTAATATAAATAATATCTACGATGTGAAACTAAACTAAAATTGCAATAAAACGAAAGTTCTTAAGACGAAACAGCTAAAAACATAACGAAACGTGCAATGTAATATAAGTAATATAAAATGGCTTGAATTGAATTAATTGATTATTATAATATATTCCTCTGAAATATTTATTTAATTTTTCTACTTTTAGGACAATGAGCAACAATCAGAAATATTGAATCACAATTTCGATTCCTATTATGCAGAATAAATTATTATATTCTTAGTCCCCATGTCCCAAAAGTTATGAACGACGGGTGTACTGTACCTACGTTGGAGCAGAAACGGAGACTCGTCTGATCTTATATCGGTACTGTACATTTCAATTAATAGCTTAGCAGATGCTCCATTTTAGTCACTTAAATCTCACCATTAGATTCCTTGTCAAAAGTTATGTGTAATAGATCCCTTTTTGACCCTATAGACAGTTTTCCTTTAATTTCTATGATGAACAAAACACAAACATTCAGAAATATATATACTGTATGGTAAATATTCTATATATATAGAATAATTACCATTCCTTAATACTATTCATAACACACCCTATTAATACTATTTATTAGCGCACTCTATGTTTCTATAATAGACTGCAAAATGAGGGTGCCCTCAATTTTGTTCTTTATTACAGAAATAAAGAATATGCTAATGTTTCACGAAAAGTCCAAATGAACTTTCTCGCTTTCGTAAAGCGTGCGTAAGGAATGTTTAATTAAAATGATTTTTACATCAAATAGTGGATAATATACAGTTGTATTATTTCCTAATTTAAATTTTTATTATTTATTACTTAAAGAATTAATCAACATTTGAACTAGTTCAAAGCATATAAACGTTTGAAAAGTTAAGTAGAATTAATAAATCTTGCTGCAGATGATTTTTATAAATACCTATTTATAGAAGGGAATTTGTTAAACTTTTACAAATCTCTGCCAGAGGAGTTTCACAAAAGAGATTTTCTAGTTTTAATTCTGTATACCTCTGCAAATAAACCTTCAAAAACAAAATACAATATCTTATATAAAATCAAAATATCAAGCACCATTGTCCAAGACTATCTAAAAAACATATTAATATTCTGTGCCACAAAATTTATCCCGTATTTTCGTGGCATTCTTTCGAAAAGCAGTTGCAAATTTTACATTAATTTATGTCTTTTGTTATTCAGAAATAAAAAAAATCATAATCTTTGACTACACACATCTCTCGTATCCGGCCTTCAGACCTATCTTTTACAGTTCAAATGGCCCTTCTAATAAAAAGGTTGGATAAACCTAATATATCAAACTCTTTCAAACTCGGAGTAACCTAAGTTCCAAACCAAACATAATAGCTAATAATGTGAACCAACAGCGAATGATACTATACAAGAAAATATTAACTGATGACATTCTTAAAATTCATTTGTCTTCAGAAACTGCTTGGCACAAAACCAAAAAAGAAAATGAAAGAGGAAAAAAGAGCTAATGAAAAGTAAAAACCGACTGGAAGTTTTTAAATCAGTATAAAAATGTTTTCAACGTTCTTCGAAACTAGAATATTCACTTATCAAATGTTCTCCAATGTTCATTGCATTATGGTTTAGAACATTCCTCAAAATCTGAGGCGATTGACAAAAAGTGAATGCATTCAGTATGGACTTAACCAATTATGTGTTCTGGTAAACGCCTACCTATATTGATAACTCATTTACGGATTGTACTGCCCTAGAAGGACTATCGATTGGTTGATTGATTGATTGCTGAATGTTAGTCACGAAACGAAGAGAAATCTGCTAGATCACGGCATCTACTTAAAAGATAATAAAAATAGGTCTTCTTGAAAATCTAAAGCCTATTCAGAAGTTTCATAGTGTTTACGTAAAACGATTTATGAATATTATTGACAAATTTATACATAATTGTCAGGATTTTAGTGCAAATGCAATTACTGTTGCTTCTTGCCAGCATTAGTCTATGGTATAATTGGTTTCTTTATACGTCATTTTAGCTTAACGCCGCAATTTCTAAAAACCTATCGATGACGTTAAGTGAGGACTTGCTATAAAAGATTATGAAGAGTTACGTGCAGAATAGTAAAAATAACAAGTTTCCATATTAAACTTTGAAACATTAATTGCAGCGAAACTGAATAAATGAGGACTCAACGGTTTAAATATTTGTTTTCTTTTATTTTATTAAAATATCAGCATACGCTTCTTTAGCATTAGCTTGATAAAATGATCGATATTGTTATTAATGGCATAATTAATTGTTTTGTTTAATAATGCTAGTAATTTGGTGATCAAAGCTGAAAGAATTGAAACGCAGGCCTATAGGATTAAGCTTTATAGTAATTATTTGGCTCTACAGACCTAATTTGTGAGAATATATTGTAATGTATATCTAGAAATGATCAATATTAGGTATGGTGCTAAGCATATAAGCTCTTCGAGATCATTCCAAATTTTTAAAAAACGGCCGAATGTTCTATAATTCGATATTAAAGAACTCCTGACGATGGTCTATAAAATAGGCCGAAAACGTTTGAGTTTAAAAGTATATCGCTGTTTGAGATGATGGTTGTTATACGAAATTAAATTAGAGCGAAATATTAATGCATACAATTTAGTACATAATTTGATTCTTTTAAGAACAAAAAGAAATCTGGTTAAGAATTGTGACGTGTCATAATAAACATTTATATACTAATTTAGTAGTTTTTGCAACTTTTGAGGTTTTTACTACTACTTTTTCAACATTTTGTGGTTACAAAATCATATTTCATGGCTCTCCTTACCATTATTTCCTTTATTATTTATGTAATATTCATTTAGCCTGCTATTTTAACATTCTTATTATATGTTAGTACTGTAGTCAAATTTTTATTCTATAATTCTCCTGTAATTAATCATTTTTCTTTTCTTAATATTATATTAATTCCTCTTCCATATATGATATTTTTATATTTAATATAAATTTATCACAATAATCAATTAACACATATTTTAATACAGAAATTGGAAGAAACTAGAAAGATTTTTCAATATAATATCAAAATGTCATGGTTTTAAAATTAAAAGCATTAGCAGAAACAAAAATTAATTTAACATTTTGATTTTAAATATATTTCAATAAAACTATAGCATTAGCCTAAAGTCAAAACACTAAATATTTGATAGCCTATCCGTTTCGTAAATTAGGAAAGAAATTTTTCAGGTAAACTATATTTGAACTAAACACAATCATGAGAAAATTTGAATACATTCTTCCTCTAAACTCGTTATATCTAAACAAGTTGTGATTAGTTTATTTAAAAGTCATACAATTAGTCATATTGATATATTCTATAGCTTTTATATATATTTAAACCGATGATTCTAAATAATTCACGAGTAAATTGGATGAATGGCAATGTAACTTAATTTATTTTACGAGAAACTCGTTCAATAATTCAAAAGAAAGACTTGCCAAAATGTCAAAATCAATGGTCAAATATCTTTTATTTGGAAATTAATAAAGAAGAAAAATCCATTAATTAATTTAAATAATGTTAGCTTTTACTGGTTTAAAGTAAATCTTATAAAGATTCTCGAAAAATTAAATATTTAAAAAACTATTAGTTAATCCACTATATATTTTCTTTATAGGGAAACAAATTATTCATAAAAAAATTTATATTTCTTTAAGTAATTATCTGTATAATTACATTATATAATTTTTAGAAAGTTATAGTTATCGACCTATTTCATAGCTGAATATAAAATTATAAACCAAATAAATAAAATACATAATTTTAACATAAATTAAGAACGCTGTTAGTCTAGAAACAAAATGCACGCTTACATGCAATCTGCATATAAACTCGTTTACATTTGCACGTTATATGTTTCTGGCAAAATATAATAGGATAATCACTGGAAATCATTATCAAAACTTTCAAAGAACGAAAATAATCACATGATTGACTGATTTTAGATCGAAAAAAGTGAGAACTGTGTTTAACTGCTAGGATTTATTCGGTAGTTTTTTCTACGTATATGAAAGATGAGCAGAGTTTCACGGAAAAGCTTTAGTCATGAGTTCAGTTTAAACTGCTTTGACGAATAACCAGATGACAATACTTCTATGTTCTGAGTAATTTTCGACTAATTCGAATCAACTGAGAGATTCTTGGTTTTGTTATTTCTTGACCTTCAAATTATTTAAAAAATGTACAGTACGCCTATACCAAAAACTATAAACTGGTCGAATTTATTTGTAACTATAGATATTAGAAAGCAAAGATTTTAATAAAATCTAATAAACAGTACGTGTACAGATCTTAACCAAATTATTTGATTACCTCTTCCTTTTTAATAAAACTGTATTTATGAAAATAATTTTGAAAAGCAATAAAATAGCAATTAGAATAGAAATAAGCAAATAATTTTATATTTACTATTTATGTTTTATG